CTGTTAGGTGGTTCCCTTAGTTCCTTGATTCGGTTTCATTCTGAACAAGCTATAAAGAAACCAAGCCTTGGGGACTTCGAGAGTCCTTATATTCAAAGAAGTATATTGTTTCCTTATGATACCTGCCTTTAAGTAACAATGAAGCTTGCTCAAAAGAAATTGTGGCCCTTTTGTGAACGTGGGGTCCTCAAATTCTATATAACTTTGAAATAGAAAATTCAGCTTTCGTTTCCTGGTATGGAATTGAGTCCTGACCTCAAGTCGCATGACCTGAAGATCTGGAAGCAGTGTTGGCCAAACACCTCCCATTGACTGTCACACCATCTAGAAACCCTCGTTATAATGTTATGTTACCGAATTTGATCCCCATGCAGTTTTGTCCTGTTATCTCTAAGACTTTGACATACACATTGCTGAACACCTTTTGTTATAGGCTGTCGCACAGACAGATCAATTGCTCCATTGTACATGGGTGTAGATGACTACTTCCCCAGCTTCTCAATAAATGTTTTCCATTCCAACCTCTCAGTCCTCTAAAACATCTAACCATTTAATGAAATACAATTCATCACTTCCCTTCCATAGACAAAGCTTCAAGTTCGGGATAGATCAGGGTATATGATTGTCTACATGGCTTCATAGCAACAGGGTGGAAGTTATACCTGCTGCTCCTCCAACTGCAGCATCACTGTCTCCAATTGTTCACCATCTCTCACAATGACAATTGTGAGAGAATGTGAGCACATGACTCCATTCTAGAAATCACCCTATCCATTCCTGTTTGTTGTTCTTTTGTTTTGTCTTGTTTTGTTTTGTTTTGTATTTTTATTGGATATTTTATTTACATTACAGATGTTATACCCTTACCCCACTTCTCCTCCCCCAACCAGGAACCTCCATCTCATCACACCTCCTACTGCTTCTATGGGGATATGTCCCCACCTACCCCCCCAACTCCCACCTCCCCACCCTCGAATTCCCCCACACTCAACATCCAGCCTTCATGGGATCAAGGATCTCCTCTTCCACCTATGCCTGACAAGGCCATCCTCCCCTACATATACAGCTGGAGCCATGGGTCTCTCCCTATGTGCTCCCAGGCTGGTGGTTTAAACTCTAGGAGCTCTGGTTGGTTGGTATTGTTGCTCTCCTCTTGGGGCCACAAACCCTTTCAGCTCCTTCAGTCTTCTAACTCCTCCATTGGGAACCCCTTGATCAGTTCAATGGTTAGCTGTGAGCATCAGCCTCTGAATATGTCAGACTCTGGCAGACCTCTAAGGAGACAGCTATATCAGGCTCTTGTCAGCATGTACTTCCTGACTTCCATATCAGCATCTACCTTTGGTGACTGCACATGGGATGGATACCCAGGTAGAATGGTCTCCAGACAGCCCCTCCTTCAGTTTCTGTCCCTCACTTTGTCTCTATATTTGCTCCCTTGAGTATTTTGTTGCTCCTTCTAAGAAGGACCCAAGCACTCCCACTTGGTCTTCCTTCTTTATGAGCTTCATGTGGCCTGTGAGTTGAATCTTCGGTATTTCTAGATTCTGGGCTAATATCCAATAATCAGTGAGTGAATACCATGTGTGTTCTTTTGTGATTGGCTTACCTCACTCAGGATGATATTTTCTAGTTCCATCCATTTACCTAAGAATTTCTCAAATTCATTGTTTTTAATAGCTGAGTAATACTCCATTGTGTAAATGTACCACATTTTTTGTATCCATTCCTTTATTGAAGTACATCTGGGTTCTTTCCAGTTTCTGGCTATTATAAATAAGGCTGCTATGAACATAGTGGAGCATATGTCCTTGTTATATGTTGGAACATCTTCTGGGTATATACCCAGGAGTGGTATAGCTGGGTCCTCAGGTAATGCTATGTCCAATTTTCTGAGGAACCGCCAGACTGATTTCCAGAGTGGTTGCACCATCTTGAAATCCAACGAACAATGGAGGAGTGTTCCTCTTTCTCCACATCCTTGCCAGCATCTACTATCACCTGAGTTTTTGATCTTAGCCATTCTGACTGGTGTGAAGTGGAATCTCAGGGTTCTTTTGATTTGCATTCCCCTGATGACTAAGGATACTGAACATTTCTTTAGGTGCTTCTCAGCCATTCAAGTTTCCTCAGTTGAGAATTCTTTATTTAGCTCTGTACTCCATTTTTAATAGGATTATTTGGTTGTCTGGAGTCTAATTTCTTGAGTTTTTTGTATATATTGGATATTAGCCCTCTATCATATGTAGGATTGGTAAAGATATTTTCCCAATCTATTGGTTGTCATTTTGTCCTATTGACTGTGTCCTTTGCCTTACAGAAGTTTTGCAATTTCCTGAGGTCCCATTTGTCAATTCTTGATCTTAGAGTATAAGCCACTGGTGTTCTGTTCAGGAACTTTTCCCCTGTGCCGAAGTATTCGAGGCTCTTCCCCACCTTCTCTTCTATTAGTTTCAGTGTGTCTGGTTTTATGTGGAGGTCCTTTATCCTCTTGGACTTGAGCTTCGTACAAGGAGATAAGAATGGATCAATTTACACTCTTCTCCATGCTGACCTCCAGTTGAACCAGCACCATTTGTTGAAAATGTTGTCCTTTTTCCACTGGATGGCTTTAGCTCCTTTGTCAAAGATCAAGTGACCATAGGTGTGTGGGTTTGTTTGTTGTTCTACTTGAACCTACATGACCATAAGACAGATCCTGGGTTCTAAATGTACCTTCCATTTCACTTACAAAATGAAACCCATTCAAATACCTGCAAATATTCATACTCTTAATCCATGCTTCCTGGAGAAATGTGTTCTCTAAATCACTGAGCTCAGTCCACTCTGGTCATGTGTGCTTTGTTTATAGTTACAGTTACTCCCTTTGTAAGAGCCCTGTTCAAATCCCACCATGGAAAGCTTTCTCTAATGTTACATACCTAAACAACTCCATCTTTATGTCAATAGACACTCCATCCATGGTTGCATCAGACACCAATTGTAATCTTAGTTTCTTTTCCATTCCTGAGGTGACTACATCTCCCCTCCTCTCACTGATCTGAAAGACTTAAGTGTTCTTATTTGCTTCATTGCTGAGCTTTCTTTAAATACACTCTATAGTACAGTGTTAGCCATTGGTTTGGTAAAGCATAATAAATAGAAGAATGTCTTCTATCTGTCCTCAGTATGTGGAAGATATGCTAGATTTATTGTAAGTAGCAAACATATATTTCAAATAAAGCAATAATGTGTAATTATAAAATAAAATTCAAGTTTAAGGGAAAATAGGCTCCTATATATCCTTAGGGACTGAGCAATTTCTGTCCTCAAAGAAGAGATGAAGTATTTGTGCTGTATCTTATTTCTACAATGAGAGCCACAACCCCCTACTTATCATGACATGGATAAACATATCAAGCATTAGTGAGTTCAGACAGCTTGTAAAAGTTCCAGCTTCTACCTGAAGATCCTGTGAGGTTTCCCCAGAGGCCTGTTCCTTTGGGTAACAAAATACCTGACTCTAACCTGTCAAGGTACCCATCAGCACCCTCCAGATGTAATGAGAATGATTTTATTGTCAAATTTTGTGCCTAAAATGGATCACTCTTTCTAATTCCCTGATGATTCTTTTCAATATAACTTATTCAAGCTAACATCCACCAAGAACTGCACTGTACTTTAATCACATTCTAAAGTTTTCCTGGAGGGAAAAATAACTGTATTTCAATCCCACAACAATAGTTTCGGAAAGCTGGGCTGTCATCTGGAAGATTCTGAATCGATCGTCATGTGCATAGAACAACAAAAATAAAAATCAAAGACAGTAATCCAGAGAGATCGTTACATGCACATCCCTAAGCACAATAAAATACCTATTAAAAATACACACCACTGACCAGTTTATTGGGAATCAATTATTCATCCCTCTCCTTGGATTTTTAAAATTTACATCATATTGTTACTTACCCTGAACTTTGCCATAAAACTTAACTATTTTTCACATTGCAATTTTTCCCTAAAAATCAAAACTAATAATCTACTAAAAGTCCTGTAATGATTTAATCTCTGTTCCATTCTGCATTTACATTTCAGATGTCCACTAGATGTGACTGAACCAAATTATGTCTTCTCCAAAAACTCCATTAGTTCTTGTAAAGCCTTCATACTACTAAAACCAAAGCCAATAAATCTCACCCTGTCTATCTGAGAATGATCTTCAAGGGGAAATTTAAGATGCCCGAGCCAAATGTTGGAAGTGAGATACTTCTCCCCTTAATAAGTGCCTAAAGATTAAAGGAAAAGATTTTGCTTAGGGAATATATATTCACTTGCAGTTTAGGGTGATGTTTACCAAATATCATAAATACTTAATAGCAACTGTTCCTAGTGCTTCTAGCAAAAGGCAGTAAAACGAAACATAAACCTCCACAGCAAGAGCCAGAGCCCGACTCCAAATTTCATTCCTCGCCTTCCCCGCCAGACCCCACTCAGGAGAGCCGGAGTCTAACAGTCACCAGGGAGGATGCTGCCGAATCCCAAATAGAGATATTATGTGCCCTGGGGAAACTATTAATCACTTCAACGGGAGGAACAACTATAGTCAGAGCCTGAGCCACCGGATCGAGTTGCCTGTCTAATCAGTGAACAGGCTGGAAAGAGGCCCTCACCACGAATTCCAATCAATTTTTTTTATTTCACATTTCTCCTATAAAGCCTGGAGAAACTCTAAAGGTAGAAGATGGTTAACTCTGTGCTGAAAGGGTGGAGATGTCTGAGGCAATTTCTGAAAATCGTCAACTAGAAATGCCAGCCTAGGATCACAAAGAACATGCGGAAGACAGTGGCAAATCTCACCAACAAAAGAAATCCAGATCTTATGTCCTGTTTGCAGCAACAAACACAGCTCACTCTCCTTTCGCTAAATACTGCCCACCTGCTCCACGTGCAAAAATCGCTCGTATAGCTTAAAACACGTGTTGTCAAGTTCCCAGCCTTCTGGGTCTGAGAGGCATACTTACAGAGTTGATGATCCCTTTAAGAGCTTGGAATCCACCTTTGACAGGGAAAACTTGGTCCTTGGAATCAGCAATTTTTTCCAGCTTTAAAAAGAAGATGAAGACTTAAGGAGAAGCTGAGGTACACAGCTCTTTATAGTTTAAACTCACATGGAAAAATTCATGGTTACATTCATCTGAAAACTTACTGCCTATAATTCATTCATTCTGTGATATATTACACTTGTTTTAATGAATATATATATGTACATATATAATGTATACACACACAAATATACACACAAGACAGTGTTATATAACTGTACATTACAGTCAAAACTCAAGGCCTACAACTATGGTGAGGAGGCCAATTTTCCTCCAGAGATACTACCATGAAATGAACTAAAGTCACTGGCTACAAAGCCAAAGTAGCATAGATGTCTAACTGCTGTCTAACAGCAGGAGAGTCGCTATTTTAGCCATTTCTTCACACAGAAATGTAAAGGTAAAATGATTTGTACGAAAACTTCATGAAAAAAATAGATTTATATGAAAAATCTTAAAGATTTCTCAATGGACTCATCAAATTCCCACACAAGAGAAAAATTTCAAATCAAAATAAGAATTCTAGATAAAACTATCACCATTGTCTCACCAATTAAAGTAAAGGGATATTTGCATGGTATTAATGTAAGCATTTATCTCCTTTTAAGATCCTCACCAAATAAACATTCAAGAAATTTATTTTGAGTTTAATTTTCCGTTTTTAGGAGAGCTCAAAACACAAGTCATTTTATGCAAAATCTCCCCATAAGCCACAGCAAAAGAGTTCATCTAAATACCTTTAAGGCAAGCTAGTGAGTTACAGTTTCCAGGTGTGTCTTAACTCACCTGAGCTTGTTCAAAATCCAAGACCCCAACACAGTAAACACTAGCGCCAAGCGACCTGGACTTCTTTGCCTATGAAGTAACAAAAATAGAAGAGAGATGGAGGGGAGAGGGAGGGAGGGAGGGAGGGAGGGAGGGAGGGAGGGAGATTCAAATAAGCTACATGTGCACACACAGCAAGGTGCACTTTGGGTGTGTACAAAGCCCAGCTTAGCACTCACCTCGTTCTCTGCATATGATGGTACCAGGCCGTCCAGCTTACCATCTGTCAAAGCAATTATGATACTGGAGGTTTTTAAGCCTCCTGCATTTTGAATTTGTTCATTTGCCTGAAAATGAAGAATAATTATACAACTGACAATTTCATTTTCACTTTTAACCAGCACTGTCTGTGAAGCTGAATGCACAGGTCTGACAAAATAAAGATATTAAGGGCTACAAGATAGTACATATATATTTATATGAATTAATTTACAAAACTGGGTATTTCTGTTAGCCTTTTTATTGGAAATATGTGTGTATTCATATAAAAGCGTCACTATACCCAGGTTCCTGTTACACAGCTTTTTATACCTATGATTGATTAATCTGAAACTAACCACAGAGGGAAACAGACTTGTTAGGAGACAAGTTGCAAACAAACTTTTCCTATCAACACTCAGAAAATGGTGTTTTCTACCAGCCTCATGTCTAGGATGGACTAAACCAATGAAAAAATAGACATATACATGGAAAGGGATTTTTCCTTATAATAAGATTTTTCTGTCTACCTAGTTCAAAATGTAGGATAACTTACAAGCTTTAGTCCTTCGTGGATGTATGTCTCTCCGACTGGCTTAACGGCTTTTAAATCCTCCAGTCCTTTGTCAATTTTGTATCTGAAAAGAAGAAGATTGAGCAAAGACCATAACAACACTTTTTGAATAACTTAAGTCTCCACCAGTAAGAAACAAAAGAAAAGATGTGGCCTTTGAGTTCAGATGCTTCTCATCCTTTCTATCATGCTAATAGGCATGTGGTAACTTATGGATTTTAACCATGTCCTCCTAAAGGCACTAATAGGTCATGGAATCAAAGCCCATCATACACTGATGAGCCAGGAACCTTTGATGACACTTGCTTCATCAAGTGGTAAGGACTCCAGTATGCTTCCTCTCATACAAATACAAAAGTGAAGTATTTCAGCCTCTCTACTGGTCACACTCACCCCACCTCCCCGAAAGGGAACACTGCGTCCTCATCTTATAGACTCTTACAAACTTTTACAGACTAATAGTCACCCTTCTGCATAGAAAGTGATATGTTCTACTTCAGTCTAAAGCTCTTACATCTCAGGACTTCACTGTTAGGGGACCTAACACACACTGTTCACACACTCAGGTACCTGAATATTCTTTTGAATATAGTAGAAACTTAATACAAATTTGACTAATGAATAAATGAGTGAATGAATGAATGAATAAACAGATAAATGGATGAATGGACAAGAAGACCATGCACTCTTGTTAGAGAATGTGAATGAGATGAGAAAAGTAAATAAACATCTTTTTCCTCCTCCTCCCTCATCTCCTCTTCCTCCTCATGTTATTTTTCTTCTTAAAAACAGTCTCACTATGTAGCCCTAGATGATCTAGAACTCACTGTGTAGACCAGGCTAGCAAAGCCATGTGCTTCTACCTCTGGAGTGCCAGGATTAAAGGAATGGATCACTGCTAGGAACGTGCCCAGCACCAGTTCTCTCTGGAAGGCAGCAGATGGGGAGCAGCTGTGGTGATTGGGGTTATGGATAGCAGACCCCAGTGACAGTGATGGGCAATTTACAGGGTCAATACTGCTGATGGAACAAAGCTTCGTTCTATGTAGCTGGCAAGAATGCCTACCAAGAAACTCTGAACTCCTTCAACTCTTAAGTGTACATCATATATAGACAGATAGACATTTGATAGCAGCAGGGAATTAAGTAAAGGATTAACTGTTAGAGTTTCTTTCTCTTTTGCCCAGGAACCTCTCCCTGGCCAGGAAAGTGGCTTGGACTTTTTAACTCTTTGTGAACCAGAGAGAAAAGAAAGGAAAAATAATTAAACTCCTTTACAGAGGCAATATGCACAGACTCACACATGCTCATACACATATACATTTTGATTGGGCCTGACCACCTGTCTCAATCAACTCCACAAGTATTTATGCACACTTATATATATACACATATATAGAGAGATAAACAGACATATACATATATACATTTGGTAGATGGGGCTGAGACACAAATACCATACATATACATTTGGTGGGTGGATGTATGTATGGATGGATGGACGGATAGATGGCAGAGGCCCCCAAACCACCACATTATTTCTTTTCTCTGGCCTTTTTACAGACAAAGTTCTTAGAAAATACCTCATAGATAAAATGTTACACAAAAGGGGGAGTTACAGAAGGATGTGGATAGTAAGTTTACAGCAGTATTTTATTCTATAAGCTCATTATAACTTCACAGCAACAGTTCCACGTGGCCTTGCTTTATCATAGTGCACACCTGTGGCTTCATCCATACACCTGACCTAGAATAAATGTTCTTCCTTGATCACAGATTTGTTCCAAGCCTATTTTTCTTTTCAGTGTAATTGTGAAAGCTCATTGTGTTCTTTATTATGCAGCCTTTAATATTTTATGAAGAATGGGCACATTCTATTCTTGATTCTAAGTTTATTATATCTTTCTGGCAAAACAACTAAAACCATCTCTTAAAGCTTTCTTCCTAAAATTACTTGAATCAAATCAGGAAAGCTATAAAATCATTTACTCATATAAGCATTATTAATTCATGAGAGTTCATCTTTACCTTGATTTGTAAGGAATTTGCTCAATCGGGTGAGCTAATGCCTAGGAACCCTTAGGCTATGTAATAGTGATTGGAACTTCATATCAGCAATAAGAAGCAATCCTGGGATAAAATCTCTTGAAACCTTGCCTCTCAGAGCTCACCAAATGTAGACCATACAAAACTGTTGGGCCATCTCCAGGAAAGGCACCTTAGCCTCTCCTAGATGGCTCCGGACAGACTGCAATCTCTGGCAGAGTCCTTTTCACCATAACTGATTTATTGCACCAGTGGAAAATATCTAAATGGAATATGTCTGTAAAGTTATTAAAAGCTATTTCATATGAATGTGTAAAGGAAGACCCACATTTTATGGTTTTAAGTATTTTTATCAAAATCTCTTTTTAAACAATCTAATAATCCGAAGAGATAAAATATTGTTACAAAAATAGCTCAAATATATTCAATTTGGGGAGGGGTTTTATTTTGTTTTTGCATTAGTAGGTTTGTTTGTTATGACCCCTAGGTTGGTTTTGAACTCAGTACCCTCTGTTTTAACTTCCTGAGTACTGGAATCACAAGCATGTGTCAACCTTACCTTGTTTAAGTGTTAATTTTGTAGAAATCTTTTTGTTTTGCTTTGCTTTTGTTCTCTGAGACAGGGTTCCTCTGTGTAGCAGTGGCTGTCCTGGAACTCACTCTGTAGACCAGGCGGGCCTCAAACTCACTGAGATCTGCCTGCCTCTGCCTCCTGAATGGGATTAAAGGCTTGTGCCACTGCCACCATCCAGCTTGAAATGTTCATTTTAAAGGTTCAAAGAAGATCTTTATTTTTTTTAAAGTTTAACTCTTAGTTTTTAATAGAAGTAAAAAGAACTTTAATTGTAAAAATGGAACTATCAATAGAATTAATATCCTTTAAGGAAACAGTGGATAGTGTCCATATCACTGGGGATAACCAACAAAAGAGGTGGATTATAAAAATAATATCATCCTAATATCAAAGATGGTTGTGGAGTCTTACAAAGAATTCCACGTATACATTATATGTATGCATTTGTTTGTAACACATGGTTATGACACATAAAATTAATAAGAAACATATTAAATGTTTCAATAAGCCATGCACCAGTGTTTCACACATTTTAAAAGTAACTAATTGATTATATTTTAATAGCATTAATGCTTGGTTTAAAAAGCCACCTACTCAAAGTCTTTAACTGATTTTACTACACTCCAGCTTCTATCCACATCTATATTCAAATTTTACTATGATAAAACATAATCTCTTATATCATTTCACCTAACTAATTAACTTAAATGTTCACATCTCAGTAAAACCAGAGGTTTGATATAGCTACCTCTGCCATCAATTGCTGATGTAATCATTTGTTCTGAACCTGCTACTTATTATAATGCCTCTTGCAAAATAAGTGCCTAATAAAATTTCAATCTTCTGTAGGAAATAATCATAGTTCTGTAGACGACGCAGCAAATACCATAATGTATAAGTTCGCTTTGTGTAAATATTTATATTTGAGATCTATGGAAACGACTTGAAACTGATTTTGTCTGAGTAGAGATAAATATCAAATACTTGGTATTTCCCCGAAATGAGTGGCAGTGTGTCCTCAAGCATTAATGTTTGCTGTCAAACGGGAGAGAGACAACTGATGTGCAAGCTTACACAAACAGAATCTGTGTGGTAAAAATAGCCATCCCATTGGCTCAGGCCCACTCACCACTGCATGTAAGAGCCTGAAGCATGAGCAAGCCTGAGTAGAAGGAGCCCATTAGTGTGGGATTCAGTCTTTTCCAGCCACTGCTAGTTCAGTCGGATAACAGAGAACATAGCAAGGGTTTCCATCTTTAATGTGCCTACCACCCGCATGCCCTTCCATACTGCATGGTGGTCCACCATGTTTGTATGACAAAGACATAGAGGTAAAGTGCTCCTTCCCCAGGGCCAGTGACATGGGCACACATGGGGCAGCTGTGGGCCACCTACAACAGTAAGTATCCAGGCTGTCAGTCTCTTTAGGGAAACTAGAACCCAGGCCAAGACAGGCCAGATAGCAAGGGGCTTTGAACATGTAAACATTCTAAGTCTCTCTGTCAACAAGTGAGAAGCAATAGGATGCTGTAGATGAAGGACAGAAATCTTACGCTCACGAAGCTGGGACAGAGGATTGTAAAGGAGAGAGAAACAAGTGGGGAGAAAATTGGGGTAGGAAATGGTGGGGCTGTGAAGAGATGCTCACAGTCATGTCATCTTGAAAGCCCCATTTCATGCGCTTCCTTCGATGTAATGCTGTGTCAAATACTAGGAAGGGTAATATTGAAACCACATCAGTATTTGTTTGAAACTGTTGCCCAGGATACTGTTATCATCTGAAAGCCCATGAGGCCCCACAGCTGCTGTCACCTTTGAGTACTTGCTAAGCACTTCCTCCTTTCTGCTTTTCACAACTGTGAATGTCTATTCATCTTTCTTCTCCTTTATCGAAATAGATTCTTTTCTTATACAATATATCTTGATTCCAGTTTCCCCTCGCTCTAGTCCTCCCAGTTCCTACCCACCTCCTTTCCCATCCAGATACACTCTGTTCCTGTCTCTCTTTAGAAAAGAAAAGCCTTCTAGGAGCTTGTGTCAACTTGTGTCTTGCCCGGAATGCCAAGAAGCCTGCAAAAAATGTCTTAATCAGTCACAAAAGTCTGTTCTTATAGCTACCTACATATTTAATCTTGTTTTTCAGGATCTTACCTAGTTTTACATGGTATATTCATGTTATTATGCCCCAAGAAGACTCAAGCATGTTTTGGAAAGGGGCAAGACTAAAACCAATACAAGTGTTTATTAAACATCTGTTTGTTGTTTGTACATTTTTAACTGAGAACTATAGATCAAACCCCCATAATCAACTAGAGAAAGATGGAGGGAAGAGACAAAGAAGAGAGGAAGAGAGGGGGATGGGGAGACAGAGGAGAACCTAAACACTAGCTCTTACATGAAACATTGAAGTCTAGCAGGGTCACTCAAATGTCTCTGCTGAGGAG